GGGGGGGGGTGACTCAAATATTTTCTTTAAATCATGCTCAAAATTTACAAGTAAAATTTTTGGTATTATTTATATCAGGTGAATCCTTAATATTTGTGGTTTTTTTTTTTTTTTTTTTTTAATCTAATGTCGGATCCACTTAGAATGCCTTTTGTGTAGTTCTTTTTTAACACCTATCTGTGTTTTGAAAGTTTCGCTTGTGTTTTATCTAATTTTTCACTAAGTATGGATTGGGTCTTCAATCAAAATAATATATATTATTTATCGTTATGGGATATATTATATGGATATATATTATATGAGCGTTTAACGCTATAAATAATTTAAACGTTATTCAATTTAAGCGTTTAAACTTTATACAAATTTAAACGTTTAAAAAATTTTCCATTTACCGTTATTGACAATTAAAACGTTATGAAAAATTTAGCGTTTTGCATTATTTAAATTAGTGTAAAATTTGAAACATTTTCAAATGTAGTAATACTATAAAATGAATCATAATTTTTGTTTCTTAATAAAATACCTATTACTTATATAAAAATTGTCTTGGTCTAAAAATCTCGGGGGGCAATTGCCCCCGTCGTCCCCCCCCTCCTCAGATACACCATTGGAGACCAACATGACCGAATAAGATCGTCACATGTGCCTTCACTACACTTGGTCGCCTAGTCTGGATGCTGCTTAAGAATATTATGTCCTTACACAATCGCTATAAACGACCAAGTCGCACGTCCATTGGTTAAAAACGTTAGAATCGAGTTAGCGCAACAATTGTCGGTGAGTAAATTTAACCCTCGAGCTATCTCGCAATTCGAATGGTTATGTTCTTCATGGAGCGTGAGAGAATTTTTTCAATTCCAAACGTTTTATTTTAGTATTTTTTTTTCGGAACATATTTGACACAATCTTATTTTTATCGTTTGCTGTAAAGGCCAAACACATAAGTAATTACATCGTAGTTGAACATACTACTTTTATTGCGTAATTATATTGCATTTTAATTCGTTTAAAGTATGTTTTCACAACGAGTTCATTATTCATTACAACTGGATTTATTATTTCCTCGAAAAAAACTATTTATATGACATTTTGATAGTTTTTGCGATTTTAGAGATTTAATTGACATTGAACGTTGTTAACACTTTATTTTAGTTTACAAATTAGTGTATACAATTAGTAAACAAAAGTTGTGCATCTTATTTTAAGCTTAATATAATTCGTACATTAAAAAAAAACGATTTGTTACTGAGTGATTGAAGATTATTTATTTTTATTTTTTCAATGATTGTAATAGTTATACAAAGTATTGTTTTTTTGTACTCTTTTAGTAAATAATATTATTAGTGTCTAAGTTTTGTAAAACAAAATTGGTGTAGAAGATGTATTAAATGGGTCTCATCGATACATTTTAAAAATGTATTAATTTCAAAAATCACTAGTATTATTTTGTTTTGACAGCACCAAGAAAAGTATTGTTTAATAAATTCAATTGTACTTAAATTTAAATTCAAAAAAAGTGTTTTAAAATTTATTGTTTTTATTATTTTAATGGTATTCAATATTGGTTAAATAATAATAATAAGTATTTTCATAAAAGTATTTTGTTTGAAGAATATTAAAACCTTGTTGTTAAACGCACGTAATACGTTATCAATACACTACATTTTTTACAGACGTTTTAATTTCTATTTTCCATCAAATATAAATTATTTTTCGCATTGGGAATATTTTGGACCTATCTACATCACTCCAAAAATAATTAAATTTAAATTTAAATCGTACACTTTAGATAGTATTCTGGAAAGGTAAAATATAATTAAATGCTCTTAACGTATTTATTTGTATAGATATTTAATAAATATCATAATTTATTGAATTTAAATTATTTAAAAACAGTTAAAATAATTTCACACTGACATATGCACAATACTATTCTTGAATTAATTTCAACAAACCATTTATGTTTAGGCAACCATTAGAATAGGTATATTATTAAAATTCATTCAAATTAAATACTTCATAAAGAATAAGAATGTCTTGTTCAAAGAAATTTATTGAAACCGTCTACATGAAACCACTTAAAAATTATGTTTTGGGCGTTCTATATGAAACATATTTAGTTTTGAAAGATAAATAAAATGAAACCTAAATTATTATTTTGTGCAAATTAAGTATAAACCATAAAAAAACATAACTTACAAATGTGCTAAATACTTTAGTATAATATAGTATTTAAATTTATATTAGAAACTACTGACATTTATGGCATACGTGTCAATTATGTTACAAAGAGCGTAAGGAATTATAGCAAAGATTTGAAATTACATATACGAGTATATCATTCTACATGTATAAATAAATTATTGAAAGACACTTTAATGAAATATAGTTGAAGCATCGTGTAAGTTTTTGTTATTAATTGACTAAATTAATATTACTATTATATTTAGAAAAAAAAAATCACAAAAAACTATAATGAGACAACAATTGTTATAAATATATAGGTAAATCTGGTGCATTTTAAAAAAATATTCTAATCTTATGTATCTAAAAAATGTATTCTTCAGATGAATCATTGAAAAATCAAATTGAATTTCGTTATTTTTAAATGCAATCAATCATTGGCACCTAACCCTATTGCTAGGTATAGCAGCCGCTACATCTAAAAAATAAAGAGTGAGTGGATACTGCAACATATAAGCTAAAATAATAAACTTTTAAGACACATTAATTATTATTATTGTTAAAATTAACAATGACAAAATTGTTTTATTCTTGATTTATATTATTTCTGTGCTAATATTTATATAATACCTTTAACATTAACAAATAATAAAACAAAAAAAAGGTAGTTAACATTTTGAGTTTTTCGGGGGACGGATGGGTATTATAATTCAGTGCTACACCTGAAAAATACGTCTGGGACGCTATTACAATCAATTCCGCACACATAGGGTTTTTATTTTTTTTACAAAAATCTTCGAGTCTAGATTTATAATCGATGTTCTGAATAAATTATAAGCAATATAAGTTTTGTTTTAAGATTGATTTACTCAACAAACTATTGTATACATTTTTAAGTAAACACAAATAAATGTAAAAAAATCATGTGAATCGTTTTAATTTGAAAAAAGTATTATGCATTTGTTAAACAAACTTTAGAATATAATCATAATGTTATGTACTTTGTTATTAAATGATTCACCACATCACCTATTCGTCAGAGTTGATAGAAAAGGGGGATTCTGACCCACCCAATACCCAACACCAGACGCCGTACCCCGCACCCCTTCACCACCACGGCTACCGTTGATGCACCCCCTACCCCTTCACCACTACGTCTACCGTCGCCGACACCCTCCCCCGCTGACAAAACAACACCCTTCACCGCCACGTCTACCACCGCCATACCCCGCACCCCTTCACCACCACGTCTATCGTCGCTGTGTGATACGATATCACGAACGTTTAACGATACCACGAAATTATCAGAAATGATAAGAATAATTGATAAGAAATATATGATAAAAAAAACCCCAGGAATGAATGATTTGATAAGAAATATATGATAAAATAACCCCGGTTAGTCTCCGATCTCCGATCGTCGCAAGCTATACTCGTTTTTAATTTTTTTTGTACAAATGTTTTAAATATTTTAATATGGCCGGTTCAATCGCAGACAACGCTGCTGCAAAATGTAATAATTTAAAATATCGAACCGATTAAGGCATGCTATATTCGAATGTGCTTTCAGAATCCAATAATTCAGAATTTTAAAGTATAGTCGCATGAATCTTACGCTGATGGACGAAAAAACGACTAGGTTTCACTGCATATTTCACGTGAGACAGACGAAGACAACACGTTATATCAGTTTCGAAACCCCTTGACACATTCATCGTCTCATATGCAGTGGCACACCTAGGAATTTTCATTAGAGGGGATGTTATAAGTAGGGCCCGGATTTAAATGCACTTAAAATCATACAAATATGCTTTCAAAAATAGCCAAAAATATCCTTAAAAAATGCATTTTACCACAAAAATGATCTTAAAAATGACATAATTTTTTTTATTTTGGACATTATTTAACACACTATTTAATACATTAAAATCACATTTACGCGTTACCCGAGCAACTTCTGCAAGGTAATACCATTGATTAAACATACGTGTATGTATTGTATGTTTAATTAATGGTAATACGAACTAGCTGATTATTTGCAATTTTACCGAATATTGGTGACGTTCCATAGTCAATAATAAAGATAAAATTAAAACTGAATCGAAAAATAAAGATTGACAATGTGTATGGAAAAACCCGATAAACCTACTTAAATATTAATAAAATAATTTGTCTTTTGATTTTATTTTGAATAGCTAAATTTATTTAGTATATCGAACAAACATGCATTAAAAACCAACAAAATGACCCAATAAGCGCAAATGTAAACTGAGCTCGCGCAGTGGCGTATATAGGAATTAATTTCGGGGGGGGGGGGGGGGGGGGGGGGTTACGAAAAAATATGTACCAAATGAAGGTTATAAATTAACTTATTTTTAATAACTATGAAAATTAGAATACATAAATTTAATTACAGGACAAAGTCTAATTTTCGAGGTAGATTTGCAAAATTATTTATCACTTCTTCAGTGTTTATTGAAATACTTCAATGAATTGACATGAGATAATCCTGTTAGTCGATTTTCGCTTGTACTATTTCTCAAGCACGACTTAAATCTTTTCAATATCGAAAACGATCTTTCTGATGACGCTGTTGAGACTGGTAAAGTTACTAATATTGACATTAAGCACCATATATTTGGAAAAAAATCAACGGATAGTTTATTCAAAGTATCAATAGCAGATTTGGATTTCTGACAAACCACGGAACATTTGC